GGGTGGGTTGGTGGGCGCCTGGCTGGGGGCGGGGGTTCATGTGGGTGGGTTGGTGGGCGCCTGGCCGGGGGCTGGCGGGGGTTCATGTGGGTGGGTTGGTGGGGCGCCTGGCTGGCGGGGGTTCATGTTGGTGGGTTGGTGGGCGCCTGGCTGGGGGCTGGGGTCATGTGGGTGGTTGGTGGGGCGCCTGGCCGGGGCTGGCGGGTGGGGAGGATGCCCACCTTCGTGTAGTAGCCGGCGAAGACCTTGAGGGTGACCGGAGCGATGAACTCTCGGATGAAGTGCAGCCACACGCTCTCCAGGTCCACCTGCTTCATGTGGATGTCGTCCGTGGGCACGTTCTCGTAGCCGCCCGAGATGCGGCTGTCCTGGAGAGGAGGGCGCAGGGGCGGGTCACCTGGGCACGGAGGCCGTCCGACCCGTGTGTGTCCCCCCCGCCCCAGCCGCAGCCCTGCACAGCTCTGCGGTTTCATGCTCCCCTCCTCCCACGTTGTGTGTGTGTGTGTGTGTGCGCGCGCACGTGTGTCTGCGTGCGCCAGTCCCAGGGCTGGAATTCGGGGCTTGGCACGTTTCCTTAGCGTTTTCACTCGAGGGTATGGCTCTACCAACTTGAACAACAACAGCTCCACTTCTGGCTTTTGGATGGTTCCGTGGAGACTAGCGTGCCCAATGAGCAGGCTGGTTTCCAACCCCAATCCTCCGATCTCAGCCTCCCGAGCCGCCAGGGTAGGACTCCCGGCTCCTGTTTGCGCTTTATAAAAACCCACGCTTTCCAGTGATCACCCTCGCCCCCCCCCCACGTCAGACTCCACGTTCCACCTCGCATCCTCGGCTCCTGCCCTCCTTGCTCATGCGCTAACTTGCCATCGTTGGACACACGTACCAGTACTCCAGAGCGGTCCACCAGAACCCCTTGAGACTGGGCAAGAGGGGAACCTGTGGCTTCTCAGCCAGAAGGAACCGCATGGACACCCCAGGACTGGACACTGACCCTAACTGACCCTCACTGTCATCGCCTGTGCAGTTCCTGGCACGCAAGCAGCCAGGAGACACATGAAGACTGGTGGAGCCTTTGCCAGCCAGGTGCAGATCCCCTGGATTACCTGAACACACACACACACACACACACACACACACACACACACACACACACGTCAGTCTCCCCTCCCCGTCCCCGAGACCCGAACTCACGTGATGCTTTCCCCCCGACCAGCGTCCGTAGTGCTCCATCTCCTCCACCAGCTCATCGCAGGCCTTCTCGGAAAATATAGGGAACCAGAAGACATCGGGACAGGGCTGTGAAGTAGCAACAGTGTGCATTACGCGCGTGACGTTGGAAGACAACCGGACCTCCATCTCAGGGGCCCTGAGCAGCTCTTCCCTCTTGACCACACCAAAGCCATTGATGACTACATTAGAGTGAGCCACCATGAGCTCTTCCCTTTCCCAGCCAGGCAACACAACCAAGAACCCTGCCCCTCGGAGCGGACCACACACCAACACTCGCAAGGAAAAAAATATTGGCCGTCATGGTGAACGCTAAGTATATAAGTATATAAGTATATAAGTATATATAAGCTCTGAGAAAACTTTTAAGGGGGGGTCCAAGACACCCCTCCGTTAAAAGAGCCCAACACCAGAGATCTAACCACTAATTTGAGTGGTTTCACGAAGTGATTAATGCTTAAGGGAGTGGTTTAAGAAGACGGTCTGATCTAAAAGCATGAGGTTCTCGTTTCTGCTTGGTCTCCTCTTCAGGTCGGGAAGCAAGTCCTACAGGCTCTTCCTAGACGGGTTCTCCACATTAACAACGAGTTCCACAAAACACCACTGCATGCAAGCGTGTACACAAACCTGCTCCACTATGTTTTCAGTGAAAATCTTTGAATAGTCCCGGTTGATGTATTTTTCCTTCCAGTCCTACCAAAGAAAGAATTGTACATATTAAAGCAACGAACTTTTTCACCAATGTTTATGCTGGAAAATTGGTGTCTTTTATATATATATATTTTTTTTTAATTTACTCAATTCTCGGTAAGCATTAATGATAGAGAAGAAGGAATTTTCAGGAACCCGTCCGGACATTGACAGCTGTTTGGTTCTGCCTCTGCTCGTACCACTGTAGAATAAACCAAAATTTTCTCCAGAAAGTTGACTTCTCAGCGTGAACAACCTGACAGTAATGTGAGGTCCTGTGCTACATCTACACACCCAGAGAAGTGGCCTCATGCATAAGACTCAAGGGTGAACCAGTGCAACAGCGGCCACAAGACATTGGGTTGGAAATGAACTGTACAATGCGGCAGGGAGGGGAAGTCAGCGGGGGCAGAGGGGATGAGGAAGAGGCTAATGCACCCACTACCTTACTTACATAACTGCAACCCCTCTGGTACCTCGCCTTTACAATAAAATAGAAGTAAAAAAGTAATAACTCAAAGTGAAAAGTGTACAAGAAGATGTGGCTCAGGACCACAGCATGCACTAAACCTGCCTGAAACCCTCGGTTTAAATCTCAACACCTAAGGAAAAAACTGGACAAGAAACAAGATCCTTTCAAAAATAATATAAAAATTAATCCACGAGTTAGTGAGTGAGCACATTATTATTTTATAATGAACTACTCTAATTGTATTTTTAAGTGTTTAATTTCCACCTTCTCTTGAACTTCCAGAATTTTTTTAAGGAAAAATAATTACTAATACTTTCACTTTCTAAGTTACGTTTACCTTTATTATTTGGTTATAAAAAACATATTAGCTGTACAAATGGCCCACAGACGTTCTTTTAGCTAACAAAATTAAGGACTTTTAGCTAACAAAATTAAGGACTACAGACTTAGGTTGAAAATGGATCCTTCTGTGCCTATTTCTGGATCTTATTTTCTGACCAATCTTTGTCACGTAAGTCACACAGAGTTTTTACAATGTTTGCTAAGTAATCATTGTCCTGGGTGATTACTGTATTTAAAATCCCAGTCTTGAGAAGTTATATAAAACACAGAATCACTTAAGTGTCTCCTCCTTGTAAAATGCATAATGCCTCTGAATTTTTCTTTCTTTGCATAGGACAAATACAGGAAGACCTTATTGGGAAGGGGGGAGGGACCTAAAAGAATTCTAAAGTGCTTATCTAAAATACGTCTTTGAGGCTGGATTTATATCACAATAATTTATATCACATTTTTAGTCTAGTTTGGTTCTAAGAAACTTATTTTTGATGTGGAAAAACTCAAGTCGGCTTCAAATTCTTTAAAAAATGTCAGGTAGACAGATGATGGATAGATGGATGATAGATGGATGGATACATGAGTGGGTGAATGGATGGGCAGATGGATGGATAGATAGATATGAGGAGCACATTTGCTTTGTTTCATTTTAGCTTTAGTATTTAATGGTTTGCCAATTCTAAAACACGGGCCAAGCAGAATCAAATAACCGGAATCCCCATTGTAGTTTTTGGACACATCATTCTTTACTCTTTGAAGTTCCAGAGGTCCCTATGACTACATGTGAGGATAATAATGGCAAATTTTCATCATAGAACACCTTTAAAGTCATCAATCGAATGGCGACTTTATAATGTTCTCAGGATTCTGATCAGGGGCAATCTCTCAGTATGAGACATCTATCCCTTGATGAACGCAGCTAGTCTGTCCACGAACAAACCAGGCCAGAGAAAGGGAGGCAGTTTCTGCTCAGCTTGAATTTTTCCATCCTGTGCTCCCCTGAGACATGAATTCTTAACACAAACGACTACAGCTCAGGATGTAATTTAGGATCTCTTACCAGGAAGCTAGTATTATCCAGGAAAGTAAGTAATTCTATCCCTCAAAACACCAAGGAACACAGAGCCAAAAAACACATGTAATTCCACCCACTGCAGAATAACAAAAACTTCTTTCTATTCCAGTTCTGTGCAAGATGAAGATACACAGGGGGAAAAATAGGACAGAAGTATTTTTTAAATACCTAATATGAAGAAGAAGAAAAATAGACAAGAGAGACAGTCCTATTCTATTCAACAGAGTTTCCAGAGATGACTGCAACTATTACTTCTGAATCTCTGCTGTGCCAGAAAAGACAGGGGGCATTAAATCTCTGTAATTTACGACTTTTCCTATTGGCAGAGGATCCACAGGTTATCAGCATCATGGCTGGTAAATAAAAATCCCTGTTTTGGGCTGGGAAGGTGGCTCAGTGGTAGAGCGCTTGCCTTGCATGCATGAGGCCCTGGGTTCGATTCCTCAGCACCACATAAGCAGAAAATAAAAAAGCCGGAAGTGGCACTGTGGCTCAAGGGGTAGAGCTAGCCTTGAGCTGAAGAGCTGAGGGACAGCGCCCAGGCCCAGAGTTCAGGCCCCATGACTGGACCTCCCCCCCAAAAAAAATCCCTGTTTCACTTAAAGAAAGAGATCTCATTGCAAAACAAAACCCATCTCAAGATAACCCAGTGAATCATCCAACAAAGCCAACATGGTTTTTAATCCAACACTTTAGTCACTGTTGTGTAGGCAGACTCTTACAAAAATCATCAAAAGAAACCAAAGTTGAGGACTTTTTGAGACTACTTTCGGAAAATAAAACCACTATAGCATCATCTATAATCATCAATACCCTCCTAAAACTGTCTTTGAAACTGGACAGAACTTCTGAACACTGAAAACAGAGAAACCAAACAACCTTGTAATTCCCTTTCTCAAATTTAGTATATATCCTGATTTTTCTTTTCTTTTTTCTCTCTCTCTCTCTTTATTTTTTTAAAGTTCTTGGCCCTAGCCTTGAGCAAAAGAGCTGAGGGACAGCGCCCAGGCTCTGAGTTCAAGCCCCACAACCACAATAAATAAATTCATGAATCAATTAATTATAAATACTGTAACTCAACTTTCTTTTTTTTTTCTTTTTGTCGGTCGTGGGCCTTGAACTCTGGACCTGGGCACTGTCCCTCAGCTCTTCAGCTCAAGGTGAGCGCTCTACCACTTGAGCTACAGTGCCACTTCCATTTTCCTGGTGGTTTATTGGAGATAAGAGTTTCACGGACTTTCCTGCCCGGGCTGGCTGAACAGAGATCCTCAGTTCTCAGCCTCCTAAGTAGGAGCTAGGATTACAGGCGTGAGCCACCAGCGCCCGGCTGTAACTCAACTTTCTAAAAAACAAAAACAAAAACCTCTTGAGCAGTGTCAATTTTAAAACTAAGCTATGGATTACAAAATTGATTATTAAACATTTAAAAGCCTGGCCACGTTACACTCTGATTTGCCTCTCCTAGGCTAGGAAGACACATAAGCAATACAGGACGTAGAATACAAAACACCTACCACGGGGTTTTCAAAAATCTGCCACAGGTCATTGTTGTAGTGCGAAGTATTGTAGTTGGCCGTCGACAACAGTCGTCCAAACTCATGTCTATTAGAAATGTACATAAACACACCCTACACGTCAAAAAATAACAGTATTAATCCCGAAGAAAAAGCACATACACCAGACTTAACCACAGAGACAAAAACAAAAAATGTATGGGACGTATTCCCTTCTACTTTTACGATCCGCTTAATGGCCACGCATTTGTATTCTCATGCCGCGTGTGTACAATTTGAAATCAAAGAAACAAATGTGGATTAGGCATTCAGATACCACAGGAAGGCAAGAGAGAGCACTGACAATCAACTGAAAGACAAATAGAAGGAAGGAAAAGGGTAGGCCAGTTCCTCCCATTTTCTCATGATCCCAGGTGTCGACATGGGGGGGGTGGATTCCTGTTTGAATGCAGAAATACTTTTGAGACAGCAACGTGAGATGAATTGTACCTTCTTTTGGCTCCTGTCGCTTTCAAGGGAAACGTCATGTTTTTAATAATGAACTGAAAATGTCAATGTTATCAGGGTCTTGCACTCTTTATTACTGTATTGTTCACAGACTGAACACAGAAACGAAATCATGCCTTGCAACGGCATGACTAGAAAAACACACCAAAAAAAATCACTTTTTGGTTGGTCTTTTGGCTAAGCTCAAGTGTGGTAAAAACGAAAAACAAAATACACTCATCGCAAAAGCAAAACTATAGCCTCCTCTCCTTGACCCAAATCAAATCAACACAGCAGCTACAGCTCAGACAGAGGGTCTCTGTACACCTGTTTGAATGGTAAAGGGATTAACAGGTCACTAAATAAAGAAGAATGTATTAATGTCACCTTCGACCAAAAGGAGCACTTATGGTGTATTTTATACTTAGTCTTGCCCCTTTGTCCTCCCAAACCCCATCAAAAGAAAAAATATGTACTAGAAAAATGAGTGAAAGGTCTTAAGGATTTTAACTTTTTATCTGTTAACCAGCAAATGTCAATCAACTGAAAAACCCAAGAGTTGACTGTCATATAAAACACATATAATCATACACACACCTATACACATGCCCAAACACATGCGTATAAACACAGATACATGTACACAAACACATATACACACATGCATGAATATATACACACAAATACACGCATGAAAGCAAACACATACACACATACACCACCACAACATAGAAACCTAAACGCATGCACATTAGTAACCCATAAATACAAACACTCCACACCAAGCCCAAGACGAAGCTGTGAAGAAACGTCACCGCTCGGCGATAAACCATACGCTGTATTCATCACACACACACACACACACACGCACATGCACACACGCACACACACACAGAGAAAGAGGTAAAAATAAATGAAAAGAACACCTTTGGGGGGCTGAGCATTTGGAATGTCTCCGGAGTGGGGGAGTCTTTCTCCCTCTGTAAGGTCTAAAATGAAGAGAGGCATCGGGTGAGTGGACCTGCTGGCCCAGCGCCCTGGGGTGCTCGGTGAGCGGGGTGCAGCCTGAGCGGGGAGCTGCCAGGGACCCGGCCCTCGGAGGCCGCATGCATGACAAGCGAAGCTCTCAGCTCTCAGCGCGTGAACACACGTCTCCCGCCCTGCCACCCTTTCCTTCCCTTTTTTTTTTTTTTAAATTTCTCTTGTGTTGGTCAAACATATATCCAAGCTCATTCCTTAGACAAATAATTAAGACAAGGTGGGGGGGGACGGAGTCAGAGTGGCCATTCCGGGCTGCGCTGCAGCGTGAAGTCAGCCGGGCGGGGGACAGGACGCAGTCACAGGTACTGCGGTTGCTCGGGGGAAGGGAGGTGCTCAGGTTTGTGGGAACACATACACACGTAGTAAAACAACACATGCCTTGTTAAGAATAAAAACAAAATACTTGCCAACTTTTCCGATACTTTTTTCCCTAAAATTGTCTACGTAGGTTTAGAAATAAACTCAGTATCGTTTCTCAACCAAAGTAAGTATGTTTACACATGTATCCGTACGTGTTGAAAAACAAATCGATTTTTTTTAAATAAGGACTTTTTTAAAAAAAGTAAGTCACTTAAGTTTTATAATGAAAAGTAAATCCATGGCAGAAGAATTCATTGTCTGGATGAACTCCACGGCTGACTTGAATCTTATTCTGGCTCGGGGTAAGGAGCCTGCCTTTGAGGATGCCATGTTCGTAGTTCTCAGAAGATCCACCCACCCAGCCAGACAAAGTACGGACTTGGCTCTCAGCACCAAAAGGTGCTCTTCTCAGATGGGTGGTGATCCTTCCACCAAGACTCCAGTTAACTGTAACTAGGTTTGAGTTTTCACTACAGGTATTGACGGACCGCCAGACTCTTGACCACACTGGCTCTAGAGCCAGGCTTGCATTCCACGGGTCATTGTCTGCCCACGTGGCACGCGTGGACCAAAAAAATTGGCTAGTACTTCACGAGTTAGAGAAACAGAAAGCATCAAAACACAATGACGGAGGCCAAACGGAAGAGCAGCCATTGGAGGGAAGAAATCATTCCCGGTGCGTTGCCACCCGCGCTCACCATTTCTCTGGCATTCCGGCAAAGAGCCATGTCTGGGTCCAGTCGGTCACGCACAAAGTAGTTCCTCTCGTTCATCTCTGACCTCAGCGTCTCTCCTTTGATTAAGTACACGTTAGCCAGGTATGGAATGTTCCAGACTCCTCTGAAAGCAGAAACGGACATTCCCAAACACCACCAGTGGGGGGGGGGGGGGGGAGAGAAGGGGGAAGTGGAGAATTAAGCTCTACTTTTTACACATTTAGAACAATTCATGCTTTGCTGTATAATTTGCATTCTGGGTACACCATGGGGGCATGGATGCACCCCCCCCCCCAGGATTGGATGTGTGTACGATCGCCTGACCCACACCACAGGCTCCCTGGTGAGCAGTGAGGAAGGCAGCCATGCTCTGGTTCTCTGTGCGGCCTCTTGATGCACGAATCCCAAAAACCACCAAGATACTCATTCGTCATCACGGCGGGTCCCACAGCCGCCACACGCCCGTGCCCAACTTCACCATCCAGCCTGCTGTCTACGGCCTGTCTGTGGCGTGATCACGCCTCATCTCTCAGGATGTCCCTTGAGGTTTCTGAAACTTGTTTTTCTTTTTAGAGCTTAGTTTTCCCTAGAACTACATGACCTCAGGTGGCCCACAACGCACAATCTGCGTGGCTTGCCTTCGACATGAAGCACAGGCCGGGGAGCGCCAGCCAGCATGGACGGGGAGCGCCAGCCAGCATGCACGGGTGGCTGACTGCACTCGGCACCAGGAGACAGAACGGCGCGTCACTCACACTCTCTTGCCTTGCACGATGTCCACGTAGTCCTCGGAACGGGCGTAGTACCCGTCGGGACTCAGGGCGCCCCAGAAGTTAGACCACAACTTCCCGTGCCTGGTGACCAGAGGAGCGATGATCTTCCTGAAGACAGAGAAACGCACAGCGTCAGCGATTCATAACCCACCACCGGTTACGGGTCTGGGCTTCGAATGACACATAACACAGTACAGTTCACTTCACAGAAATGTAAGGAACCCAAAAAGGTGTTTGGTTGTTTTTTTTTGATAAAAGAAAAATTTCAACCAACACAGAGAGAAAAGTTGTTGAAAACACCAAAACACTAAAAATGATTTTTTTAACACAAAAGTTTAGTTACAGCCAAGAAAGCAAAGCCACCCAATCCTTTATTACATCTAAATTTTACCTACATAGTTTGGAAATCCTATTAAATATTTTCATAGTCATTGGCAAAAACAAGAGGAGCCCTGAGAGAATCAAAGCACCCAATAAATATCCGCTGAACCAATAAAACAAGTAGAGATGAGCTGAGACATTTGTCAATAGGCCACATTCCCTGTAACCCAATTCCAAATCACTTTAAAGTATGTTTCTGTTTTGTGGGTTGTTTTTTAAAATGTCTCTTAAAATGGATTGTGGTTACGGTAAGTTTGCCCTGACAATGCTGAACTTCTATAGAAGCTCCTTTATTTCAGAAAATAAAACAGAAGGTAACTGCTTTAGAAAACATGAACGACCCTCACCCTAACACAACTTCAGGTTGAAGGGTAAGTGTGCTTGTGTTGGTACGGTGTGTTGGTACGTGGAGGTAAGACTGGAAATGGATTAGGGCAGGGGTCCCAGTATCAAGAGCCAATCTGGGAAGGTGTCTCACGCCTGTCAATCTAGCTACTCAGGAGGCTGAGATCTGAAGACCAGGGGTGGGAAAATCCATGAGATTCTTATTTCAATGAACCACCAAAAAGCCAGAAGTAGAGCTATGGTCAAGTGGTAGAAAGCTAGCCTTGAGCAAAAATACTCAGGGACAGTGCTTGGACCCTGAGTCCAGTACTAACAAACAACCACGAAAACTAACCAACAACAACAAGAAAATGGACTAAGGTCCTTAACTCGGGCAAAGCTTGTTATAAAAGGAAACGGTTTGATCCTCTTTATTTTTTCCCTTCCTTCCTTCCTTCCTTCCTTTTCTTGCTTCCCTTCCCTCCTTCCATCCTTTTCTTCCTTTCCTTCCTTGTTCCTTCCTTCTTTCCTTTCTTCACTCCTCCCTCCCTCCAGCTGTCCCTCCCTCCCTTCCTTTTCTTTCTCCTACTCCCCTTCCCTCCCTCCCTGTTCCAGGCTGACTTACCAGCCTGTTGAAAAGCAGGAAGAAACCCCTGAAGTTGTGTTGGGTTTTGTACCTGCCGGCACCAGGCTTATAATTTATCCAGTCTATGTAACACGTCACACCAGCAGTAGGCAAAGAGGAAGCCACCCTGTCTTGTTGTGTATTTAAATTAGTGCCCGCGGAAGCATTATTAACGCACATAGATATTAATTCCCTCTCCGTGACTTCAGTCTTCCATATTCACCACCTTTTGCTATGGGCAGAGTTCTTATGGAAACGACAGACTTCGGTACAGAAGCAAGAATGTAGCAAGTGCATGAACCCAAGACTTCAACAAACGGCAGTGAGACACGGACCTTTCAAGAACCCAGGACCCAACAAGCTAACTGAGTTCATTGTGAAGGAAACTTTATTTCCCAAAGATTTAAACATTAGATCGGTATTAGGGATAGTCTATTTTAATCACCTGGTATGAATTCACTAATTAGCCCAGTAAAGTAACTATTATGTACCCACCAACATGTTACAAAAACACCTAAATATGTTGTGCACTGCAAATGACTGGACCTCAGTCAAATAAATTCGAGAAAGTACTACTGGATTCTCCTGGAGTTGCATGCTGTCCTTTACTCAGAAATTCCTAGAGTAATCCACCTGCTCATCCTTGCCAAACAACCAAATCCTTTTTGATATGCTGTGGAAAACTGCTTGAAATCTGTAGATGGTTAACACAAACAGATACACATGCACGCGTAGAGAGACCGTGACATGCAGGTGTGGACAGATCTTGCAAAGCCTGAGATTTAGAAGGGAAACTAAGTTTTCAAACTGGCAGCCCCCCAGGGACATGTAACCGGATGGAATGTGGCCCAACAGATCTCCTATGCACTTCCCTTAGCCCAGTAAAAACCGGTATCCCAGCATTCACTCTGTCTGCTGTGAGGAACAATGGTTCATGGAATGCGCTTGGAAGGGTACTCACTCCAGGAGATGAGCTGTTGGCTTGGCAGCAGCGGGAGGATTCACAAACAGAGAGGAACATCATTGTTAGCGGGACAGACAGGTACCATGTTCAATCAATCCATTACAGTGAAAGCAGGAAATACCAGGGACCATCAAGTGAAGAGTAGGTGAAATTACCACTCTTTGGCTGTGGAATGGTGACCTCTGGATTCTTATTTTCCCTTCAGAGCGTAAAAACTACAACTCTCTCTGTAGGAACTCATAGGCCTTACGTGTTAGGAAATCCTACATTCACTGTGTCACCTGAGAATAAAACAATTGTACATTTCCCTAGTCTCAGATAGGGAAATTCCATCTAGCGTTAAGTAGAAAAGAGTAACTCAAATGGAATATCACAGACACACGTGTGTGACGCTAATGAACGGTAACTATTCCTATCACGAGGTTTATTCATGAAAAGTGATCTATTTAAAAAGTAACTTTAAGAAAAGTATGCTTTATTACTTTAATGAAAAGTAATTTATTGAATAAAAAGGAATTTATTAGAAATGGAAGCGTATAAGCTGTAGAAAATAACTCCATTTGCACAGACAGAATATATCCACAGAGATGTGGATATACTGGATAAATTGTTATCTCAATAAAATCAACTGCTATCAAGTCTTATTACCTGTTTTGCTCAATCAAGATTTTTAGAGTCTTTGGATTGGTCAAAACCACGTCGGCATCCACACTAAAGTAGTAATTGCACTTTTCATCTTGGCGACAGAAATCCCTGGCCATAGGAAGAAAAAATGATAAAGAATTACTTAAAATAAACATCTCTTGTTTGAAAAAATTAACATAAAACTGGCATATCACCTAAGGCTTCCCCAAGGCTTTTTCCATCAAAATAAATGTCCTAAATTCCAAAACCATAAACAAACAGACACAGGTGTTCACTAAAATCGGGGGGCCAGTATGTGGAGTATCTGTTAAGCTATTTAAGTCTTTTAGCGCATGACAACATCTGCTCGCCATGGTGGTTTGCAGTTCAGCATGCAGTGATCTCAGAGTGAAGAGTAACTTATCCCAGGGCACACATTCTTTTCTGAACCATTTTACACAAATATACATCTTCTGTGTGCATGCACATTTCACGGGATGGAATCTTGAGTCTCCAATGACTCCGTTTTGAGGGATTTGTGGAGATGTTATGTGAATACTTGGCATACCAGTAGGTCTTAAACCTGGTCTGCATTGCATTCTTTCTAAGAGAAGTTCTTCTCCACTGCCTGCTTCCGAGGGGCCCATAGGGTCTGGTTTTTGGGAATAGTGTCTGCCTTGCAGACACACCATCAAACCGGCCCCAGACAGGAAAAATTAATGATTAATTATTCACAGCACTTGCTGTGGCTTCACACACACACACACACGCGTACATGCACACGCACGCGCACGCACACAAGCACGCACGTGCACACGCACACACACATATACACGCCCACAGAGCAAGAAGTCAACTCCCCAATTTAATATACTCATTTGAGAGACAAAAAGATTTGATTTCTTCCCCTCCTTGAAGCTTCTTCTAGAAGCAACATTTAACGACTCATTCAGTATAAGTGAATTCAAACATACATTCCCATGTTTCTGGCTTCCGCTTGGCTTAATTTTTCTTCTGGTCCTACTATTTTTATGGTGCCGATCTCATGTTTAGCTTTATCATAAAACACCTTGATCTCCTTCTCATGATACACTTCCTGTAACGCAGAACAAAAAACACTGCATGTTAGAGAAAAGATAGTGAGATGAGGAGATGGGAGAGGGCTTCCGTTCCAGCCTGGGCATTCCACGAGTCACAGCTCCTTCCCTTACAGAAAGGAGAGTGAGCATGCTCAACCAGTTACCGCCTGAAAGCACACGCGGACGCTGAGATGTGTGCAATCAATACTTAAAACAGAAGATACCTCAAAAGCATTTACAAACTACTTCTACAGGGGCCAAACTACTTCTACAGGGGGGGTTCTTGGTAGATATACGTGTGTTTTTATTTATATGTGTGTGTGTGTATTCCTAACTCAAAGGGAAAAATGACTCTGAATACCATATGCTGAATTTAGACAGTGGGCTTTAAAAAAAAAAAAAACCGCTAGTAGCAGTTCCTCCCACCCAAAAGACCCCAAGGAGCTGTCCCCCAGAACACACTTACTTTGTTATGAATGAAGAGCTTCAGTGCTTCTTTGGGGTAATCCAGAGTCAACAACAGGTCCAGGAATCGAGGTAGGAAAGGCGTTGGTTGCTCAATAAAAACGCCTAAGGTCACATTCGGCAGCACCTTGTTTCAGAACAGACACAATGGGGGTCATCCTTTGTGTGCCCTTCCCTCTTAAATGCAGGGAAGAATACTAACAGTGGAGTTAGGCCACTGTCAGGGAGATTTCATTACCTCCTTTCTTGTGGTTGCCTCAGGCTAATGGGGAAAAGAGCCTACTCTATTGTATGCAGATTCTGTAAAGACCAGCCTAGCCTCCAAGTCAGGGTTTCCATTGATAGCCCTCAAAGCAAACAACAACAATTAGAGCCCTATTTTGAAAACAGCATCTGAGAAAGCAGGGTGTTAGGGTGAGGTCTCTGCTCCGCCCAGCCCTCAATGAGAGCCCAGGCCTCGCTGGAGAGAGACCTGAGTTAGATCTCCAGCACCACAAAAAGGAGAAGAGGGAAGAGAGGCTGTGGAGGAGGAAAAATGGAGGAGGAGGAGGAAGAGCAGGAGGGGAAGAAGAGAAAGAGGAGAGGAGATGGAGGAAGAGGAAGAACAGGAGAGGAAGAGGAGGAGAAACGGGGGAAGAAGAAGAGGAAGAAAAGGAGAAAGAGGACATTGAACAGCCTTCTTCCACCAGGTTTCTAAATACATAAAGCCCAGACATTTCACTGTGCGTTTAGGAAAGAACTGTTCCCTTTCTACCACGTTTTGACAGGCTGTAGACAAAGCAGCTTAAGAATCAAGTGATTTACTCCTAAGTGAAAACAAAAAAGAAAAAAACCTTTGAACGTTTGCAACTGCCTGCACTGCCCCACCTTTGTAGAACATTTCTAAAAAGAAAAAAAAAAAAGCAACAGATGAAGCAGGGGTGTCTTCCCGGCCAAGGACAGCATTCCTCTCTGCAAAACAGATCAAGATGCACTCCCCAACCTCCCCATTCAGAAACAGCCTGGCGCCCTTCCGCAGAGGAAACATTCTGCTTGTTAAGTGAGAGACTGGCCAGGAAGCCTAACTTTCAAGTAACCTGGGGCTCCGTCCAGAAGCCCTGGCTGAGCAAGGGCAAGCTGCTGCTGCTCCTCCTTCCCAGTGGAACCCGGAGGAGCACAAAAGGCCGGAGCCAGGAGCCAAGGGGCCGGGAACTACACCCGGAAGCTTCCAGAATTATCTCCCAGAATGCACAGCTTCTCCTAGTTGGACATGCTGCAGGTAATCCATAAACCCAGGGTGAAACTCTGCCGTCACGGCAAAACCGCTCCTCAGGAGCTGGGAAGGTGGCTTAGTGGTAGAGTGCGTGAGGCCCCGGGTTCGATTCCTCAGCACCACAGAAGTGGAAAAGGCCAGAAGTGGCGCTGTGGCTCAAGTGGTAGAGTACGCGCCTTGAGCTGAAGAGCTGAGGGACAGCACCAGGCCCAGAGTTCAAGCCCCATGACTGACAAAAAAAAAAAAAAAAAAAAACACTCCTTAGCCTCCACATGCTCAGGCGTACTGTTTCCAGAGCAAGCAGCAGGGGAAAACGAGGCGAAGGAGGATTTCTAAAACTGCCATGATGGGTGACAGAACAAGGTACCACAAACAAGTGAACGAGTAATAAAGAAATACCTCTACTGCTTTTACCTTTGAAGCACTAATGATACACTACAGCTAGAACTGTCTATGTAGAGATATGTATCACATATGCCTATATTACACACCCAGGTATAGATAAATATCATATGTGAGTGTACAGGTAGATACCATATATCCATGTATAGGTATATATTACATATACGTTACACATACATATTATATTACATATGTATTATATATACATAGTACATGTACATGTTATATTACATATGTATTACATATGAATGTATAGATATATTCCACAAGTATGTCTAGGTTTACAATAGATATCTTGTATAGATATGCATTACATATGCATGTATAGGTATATATTACCTATTTATATACATACTATATGTATATCGATACGCATTGCATATCTACTTACAGACATACATGATGTATGTACAGGTATAGATTACATGTCTGTGTGTAGATGTCACATTGCATGTGGATGTGTAGACATATTGCATATGCTGTGCAGATACATTACATACATGTGTGTAGACGTTACGTGCCTGTGTGTAGGTGTATTACATGTGTAGGTGATGCGTACATGTGGCTATATTGCATATGTACAGCTATAGTAGAGGTGGCTGTGTGGATGTACTGGATATGTATAGCTATGTTATACGCCTGTGAGCATGTATGCTAATGCATATAGACACATCACACACGTTGGTGTGCATGGACTGTGGCGCACACAAGACACTCAGCGAGGAGTGCTTGTCAGGCCGCTGGTTATGTTCCCCACCTCCTCAACCCTACTCCAATAATCAATACCTGCGCGCCCTTGACTGAGCCAGTCATCCGCCTGAGTACTTCAAGAGCTCTCCTCGGCCAACTGAGCAAACAGAGACCGCTGGCATTCGGCTCCCTGAGCACCCGACGCACCCAGAGCCTTTCCTACAGACGCAACTCCACACTACCATCGACTACATCTTCAGATGAACAGGTAGCACTAGACATCCTCCGGCGGATGGTGGAGCGCTGTACCATTTCCGCCCAGCCTTGACCGAACCAAGAGACCGAAGTAACCCCACAACACCCCAGCACCCTCGGCGACTAAATGCGAACAGCGCGGCTTTTGTGGGGTTCACTTTTTTCCCTTTATAAACAGCTCTGGGAACACACAAAGCCGGCAGTTTTCTGAACCACTGGGTTTTTGAGTTATGAACCGATGTATCTACTACACAAAGTGGGACCGCTGAGGTCTTCGTACCCCACCTGTGAATCGCCACCTTTCGTGACAACAAACCCCACAGCTCACACAGGATCAATTCCACTCACGTCCGCCGCAGACAGATCAACGGTGTCCAAGTCACAGACGGTGCAGCCACTGTCCTGCGTCCAGGAGTTGGGCACGTAGTTCCCAAAGTAATTCAGGAGAATCTGGAAGACGGAGCAGAGTCAGAGCAAAGTTAGTCCTTGTCGCCAGCGTTATTTGCATGGGATGAACTCCTGACGCCCCTTCGGGGCACGTTCTGACACGTGTACACACCCTCGGGGATTCTAAGTGTCACCTGGAGGGGAGCCCTGAACAGTGTTTCTTCAGAAGCCTGGCTTGTTGAGAAGGATGAGCTGCAGGTAGAAATGGCAAAACGTGTGCTCCACATCATGAAGGCCCTTTCCTTCAATACAATGAATAATACTGAGAAAGACTAGTTGACAAACCCAACAAACACCCTTCTCTAAATAAGCGAGTGGCCCATCCTACCCCGGCCAAGATGAGCCACAGAAAGAGTAAAGCAGTAGGAAGACAAACGTCTTCTAAGGCACAGACTCTAGATGGACATTCACCAACGTGTGACTGAACAGAGTGAGTGCTAGGCCAACTGTATCACCAAAACAAACAAACAAACAGGCACCAAGCTCTTCCTGGAAACTAGGCCATTAGAAGTGAGGAACTCAGGTGAAGAGGCTGAGATCTGAGGATCAAGGTCTGACAGCCAGCCTTGGCAGGAAAGTCCCTGAGACTCTTAGCTCCAATTAACCAGCCCCTCCCCGCCCCCCAAAAAAGGAAAATACAAGCATGGAATGCATAGTTTAATATATCACAGGAAAGATTTTCTCCCCACTTTGGTCAGTCACAGGACTTGAACTCAGGACCTAGACACTCACTGTTCCTGAGCTTTTTCGCTCAAGGCTAGCATGCAAAGAATGTTTTAAAGAATGTTTTAAAGGAAGTCAATCGTCTCTGGGTCCTGACCATAGTTAACATCCTCATCGCCTGGAAAGGCCAACAGACCTGCACACATTTTCCGTCTCTGCCATCTCATAAAAACTTAATGCGTCTACCATGCATTATTCATCGGCACACTGCAATCCCGTCCGGGAACGAGCAAGTGATCAACAGCTCTGAGAGGTCAGAGTACGAAAAGGTATCACTCCCCATCTTCAGATCTTTCCAGTCCCCGGCATTTCTTAACACCTTCTGCTTCGGGATATCTGGGAGGGCTCCCGCCGCCTTTGTGGGGACCCACTCCCGGGGTCTCCCCACACAGCCACCCCATCAACAGCTGTTTGGGTTGTTTTTTTATTTTTTGGTCTTTTTTTGTTTTTGTTTTTGTCAGTCATGGGGCTTGAACTCTGGGCTTGGGTGCTGTCCCTCAGCTCTTCAGCTCAAGGCGAGCGCTCTACCACTTGAGCCACAGCACCACTTTCAGTTTTCTGAGTGATTTATTGGAGATCAGAGTCTCAAGGACTTTCCTGCCTGGGCTGGCTTTGAACCTCGCTCCTCAGATCTCGGCCTCCTGAGTAGCTGGGATGACAGGCGTGAGCCATGGGGCCCAGTGGCTGTTTTCCTCATTCAACCTGGGGCTGTGGATGTAGTTAGATCACTGTTTCAGGGCGTTTCCCAGGGTGGAGTGCCGTGTTTCCAAGCCCTGGGTCATCTCCACTGGCAAAGAAGCTTCCAGACAAATCCTTTCCTCATCGACCTGTCTTCATGAAACCTTCCTGCTTCTCTCCCTGCTCTTGTCTTCCCTCTTCCCACACGTCCTCCCTTCCTTCTTCCTTCACTCCTCCTCTTTTTCTTTCCTTTTTTCCTTCTTTCCTTCTCCCTTCCCTTCCTTTTCTTCCTCTCTCCTTCCCTCTCCTCCCTTCTTTTCTTCCTTCTCTCCTTTTTTCCTTCCTTCCCGCTAAGTAACTAACACTGAGGTGTGAACCACAGCATTCTGGTGTGGAAATCTCTTCAGCGTGTGTCATTCACACAAAACCAGGTGACGGACCATGGAAAAGATGGCTGATGGTTCACACCAAAACAAAACCGATTCAGAGAAGTTCAAAATATGAGAGAATAATTACATACATAAAGAGACAAGGCCATGTGCGGGGGCATGGGGCCAGCACTCTGAGGCTCGCGTTCTGGGGGGGCAGGCAGGGAAGGGGGGCGGGGACTCACACTAGTGGGGCTGTTCCCGTTGATGGGGGGGCGGGCAGGGAAGGGGGGGCGAGGACTCACACTAGTGGGGCCGTTCCCGTTGATCACCACTGGCAGCGTTTCGTAGAATGTGTTCTTGACTCGTGTCTTGCCGTTCTCAAATTTCAAAACCACTTCATCTGGGTTCAGAAGAGAAAACAAGAGTTTTGGTCATGGAGGAACCGAGGTCCATCTGCTCAAGTGCTTCTGTGTGGTCACAAAAATCCCCCAGAGAGACAGGGCTCCCAGTGCCCAACCAACCATGGAGCTCAGCCTGCTCAAGGCGGAAGGTTCTAGAGCAGACACTGGCACTGCCCCACCTAAACATATCACCTAAATCCCCCTCACCTAAATCCACCAGGGCGGTTTACACACAACACACACACACACACACACACACACACACACACACACACACACTGTGTATGTGTTCTCTCTCTCCTCCCTTCCTTCTTCTCTCTCTCTCCCTCTCTTTCTCTCCCTTTTTCTCACCTATCTGTATAGTTCCTGAGTCATAAGAGGCTACTCTAATCCTCTCAGGAAGTTCCCAATTGCTCAGGATTTAACAGAAGGATGGGCGATTAAAGATAATGCATAACCACCATCCCCTGGAAAATCAAGAGATTATCTAGTTGTAAGTTACCAGGTTCGGAAGCATCTCTTTGTCAACACTAGTCTCAGGAAGACATTTTTAACTGAATGGGGTGAAATACACCGAGCTCAATCTGTCCAGTATGCTTGAACAGTTCTAACACATATACTGCACACCGTAGCTCTTGAATGGTTGTAACGCATACACTGCACACCGTAGCTCTTGAACGGTTCTAACACATATACTGCACACCATAGCTCTTGCCACCCAAATGGGGTCTGATAAGGAAAAGGTCACTGAACAGATGAGCAGCCTGCATACCTACAGCTCCGTTTAGGGTCTGGAAGATTTTGCATTTGTGGTCCAATGTGATGTTGAGGGCTTCCTAGAAAGGAATGGAGGCTGCATTACAGAAATACCATGTCAAATTATTAAACATACGAAAAAAACATTCCCCAAACGCAGATCCCTTTTCTCCGCTTCCTGGACGCGGGCGGGAGGCCTCGGGACCCGGCGGCCCCTGCTGGGCACAATGCCCAACTCCTAGCGCACCGGGCAGACCCCTTCCTCAGCAACAGCGCAGGCAACTTTAACACGAAAGGGCTGTCTCCTGAGGAAACTCAGCCCTCCTCCCTCCCCTCCTCCCTTTGCCAAACATTTGGTGGTTTTCATCTATCTATCTATCTATCTATCTATCTATCTATCTATCTATCTATCTATCATCCATCATCTATCCATCATCCTCCATCATTGTCTGCGATCACCATCTATCTTCTAACATGGCTGCCATCTATCATCACCCACCATCTGTATTCTTTCTATGTCTATCCTCTACCCACCATCTACCAGCCATCATTTATCTAGCATCTATCCATCATGAATACGTACATGGATACACACGGTAAACACCTATGCACTTACCACAGTGAGACTACTACTATTAACGTGTGCTCATTTCTTTAAAAAGGGTCTTCCCGCTGGCCTTATTTTCAAGTCCTTTCAGATGTAACAAAAAAAAAAAAAGGCTGTCATTTCTGACGCTTCATGCCTTCAAAAACAAAAAGCTCTACGTTCCAAAAAAATCTCAGGGAAATCATTTTCTAGTGACTTGACGGTGTCTTTTAAAACCTCCAGGCCGCAAGAATATGCTGCGGGGCCTAACCCAGCTCCAGACAGACAGGCACAGGATGCTGGGGGGGGGGGGGCTTCTCCTCCCACACCATGTCAACACCTGCTCCATGCAACTCTGTAGAGACCTCAGACCCAGACAAGATCCAGAGGGCCAATAGCCTGGCTGCCGGGAGGGAGGGCGGGAGGGAGGGAGGGAGGGAGGGCGGGCACAGGCCTCCACCTACCCTTTTTCCAGCGTCAATGTACAGCTTGGTGTAGAAGAGCTGGTCATCGTCATTGTCCTGCAGGCTCCAGTGCGCCACCATGCGGCTGACGTACGGAGCGTAGCCCATGAACCCTGCCAGGCACGGAGACAGCACGCGAGTCAGCACCCATGGACCCACACACGGGGCGCCCACAGAATTCCACCCAGCAGCTGACCCACGCTGCAACACCGAGAGGACTCAGCACAGCTCAGACCTTCGCGGCTCACCCCCAAAGGAATGCCACCGAGTATCCTTGGCGCACGCGCGCGCACACACACACACACACGCATATATGAACGTGTTAACAGGTCATACAGATATGTATCCCATACATATCGGATAGCTGCTCCAAGAGAAATAAGGGTGACTACCAACGGCAAAACGAAATACCCAGACTCCTTTTTTAAAAAACAGATGCATTCCAAAAGCGAACTGACACACAGTGGGGAACTGTGATTTTCCTTCCAGGCGGCCAGGGGAAAATGGCTGGCCGGGAGGGAGAGAACGGAGTCAGGCAGAAGACCCTCCTCTGGGCCTCCGCAAAGGCTCGTTTGAAGCATCTCTGGGAGGAGGCCACCTTTCATCTCAGCGCCAGCAGCGATCACAGGAATGTGGGATTTGTCAATGAGGACCAAAAAAAAAAAAAAAAAAAATCGCAAAGACATTTTATACCCAAGACATTTGAGGGCATTTTTTTTTTCCATGACCGCGCCTGCTAAATAAACCCTTTTCTGGCTTGGATTTGTGTGTCATAGTCTGTAAAAGGAAATCTCAAGTTGGCTCGCTCCCCTCGGCCTCCCAGCCCAAGAGCCTGACCTGCCAAGAGCGTCTGTCTAGAAAAACAGAGCGACAGGGCTGGCTCTGCCAGCCCCGGCCCACATGTCAGGAGTGCGGCCGAGCCACCGTGTTCCGCCGAGGACGCGGCGTGTACAGAGGGGCCCGGGGTCCCCGGACCGCCGGCGGGAAACGTCATTTTCCCTCTGTAACCTTCACGCTTCAGATTTCCTCAGAGGAATGAAGGGAGGAAAGGAAACAGGTCAGGGAATAGGACTTGCCATCCTGAGCAAACCAGACAGAAACGAAAACGTGACAGAAGCCATTCACCTGGGCTCCTCTTGACACCTTCTCCACAAGTTTAAGAAACCCATGGCACTTTCCAGTGGTTTATATGACTGGTTTTCAACAATCATGTTTGCTCTTACCCTTTCTGTTTCTATATGTAAATTCTGTCTGTCTGTCTGTGTTATTAAGTAGCGGTAGAAGAGGGGTTACAATTCCTTAAGTCAGGTTACGAGCACGGAGCTTCTTAGCCAATATCACCCCTTCCTTCCTTCTCCACCATTTCCTCCCCAACCCTTTGTTTTGCTTTGCTTTGTTTTTGTTGTTGTTGTTTTTGCTGGTCATGGGGCCTGAACTCTGGGCCTGGGCGCTGTCCCTCAGCTCTTCAGCTCAAGGCTAGCGCTCTGCCACTTGAGCCACAGCGCCACTTCAGGCTTTTTCTGTTTATATGGTGCTGAGGAATCGAACCCAGGGCCTCATGCATACAAGGCAAACACTCTCCCACCGAGCCAACTTCCCAACCCCCTCCCCAACCCTTTAAGTTACATTTTTTACCCAACGCTTTATCCATTTCATTAAACCAAATTGTCATGATCTAAATCAATAAAAAGCAATGACGTGCATCCTCATAGTACAGAATACAATACCACATCATTTACATTTTTCTAATAAACACTAAATCGTGGCTTTTTAAAAAAATAATTTGTAACTCCTTCAGTCGTTCTTAATATGGCACCCATCCACTTGGACAGACTCACGTTTTCCAACATGTGTCTAAATCATCTCAGAGAATTCCCGTAGCCTACGCTGCGGGGCACACGCATGATGCGGGACACACGCATCACGCCTCCCCCCACTGGCTCACCACGGCAGAGGCCCGCCCAGGTTCTGCTGGTTCCCTCGCGCTGTGAGGGACGTGGACTTCACCTACCTGAGCGGACACGTCACTATCGAGATGAACCAAGACAATGCGATGTCACTACATTTATATATCAGGTCTTGGAAGGAAAACTAATAAAGGAAAACCTACCCTAGATGTGACTGCTACATTCTCTTGAAAAATCAGCTTTCTAGAGCTGGGCCTGATGCGCAGCTCACACCTGAAATCCCAGCCACTTGGGAAGGAAGAGATCAGGCAGGAGTGTGGTCCCCAGACAGCCTGGGCAGAAAAAGTCTGACTGCGTCTCCTAACCAAGCTGGGCACTGTGGTTCATGCCTGGAATCCCAGCTGTGCAGGAAACACAGGGACACAGCCAAGCTGAGCACATGAACATGGATACACATTTTTTTTTTTTGTTTTTGGTCGGTCATGGGGCTTGAACTCTGGTCCTGGGTGCTGTCCCTGAGCTCTTCAGCTCTACCACTTGGAATCCAGCGTCCATGCTGCGAGTTTCCAGAGAGACTGTGGAGTTGGATTCTTGATATCATGTGCGATTGCCAGGGCACGGGTTCTGGGAAATGCTTCATTACAGATTTTTTAAAAGTAAGACTTTCTTTGGCCGGGCACCGGTGCCTTCACACCTGTCACCCTAGCTACCCAGGAGGGCCGCCATCTGAGGATGCAGATTCAAAAATCAGCCAGGTTAGGAAAGTCCATGAGACTCTCATCTCCAATTAACTACCAAAAGAAAGAAAGTCAGAGGCGGAGCCGCGGCTCGGAGCGGCCGGGTGCGGGCCTTGCGTGAGGAGACAAGGGAAGCTGACAAAGCATTGACAACTTCATGAACAACTGTTACTTAAAAACAACAGTCGCTCCGCGCGCGTTTATGATTTGCCAGACGGGCATGAACACGGAACCCACCTCCGGCGTTGAGGTACCGCTTCCCGATGTGCACCACAGGGTACTTGTCTGACAGTCTCTTGTCCGGCCACAGAATTCCATCGGCCGCGAAGACGACTTTGTGGTTGGACTTTTGGAACTTCTTGAGCACTTCCTCGGGGCCACCGGCAAATATGACATCAAAACTGTTTGATAGAGGGGGAAAAAAAAAACCCAAGATTTTAAATACCCAAAAATTTAGGCACACAAACCAGGAAAAGAGATCTCGGATACATATCGGAATCTAGAGCTGGGCACAAGTGGCCCACGCCTGTCATCCGAGCTACTCAGGAGACAGTAAGATCTGAGGATCTCAGTTCAAAGCCAGCCCAGGCAGGAAAGTCTATGAGACTCTTATCTCCAATGAACCACCAAAAAGTCAGCAGTGGAGGTGTGGCTCAAGTGGTAGAGATACTGGTGCTGAGTGGAAAAGCTCAGGGACAGCCCCAGAGCCTGAGCTCAAACTCCAGGACTGGCGCACACACACACGCACACACACGCACACACACACACACACACACACACACACACACACCAACACAGGATTATTGCCAACTATTTATTCAGAGCATAGCCAAAAACTCCCCCCACCCAACTTACGTTATAGGAATTGTAATGGATTTGAGTGTTTGCTATACATTAGCCAATGAATTCCAAAGCAAAGATTTTTTGCCATGAGACTCCTAATTTTATTTTCCATAACCACTTACTTCTGAGATAAAATGTCAAAGCTATGTCGTGAAACGTTAGAAATATGGGCCATGAAATAATTATAAAAACTAAATAAAAAATTAACACCACCACCTGTCTCCCTGCAAACACTCAACAGCGTGAGTAAAACCGAGACCACTATTTTAAAGGAGAGGCTGTTCTGAATCGAGAAGTTTCGAGTTTTTTTTTTTACCGATTCAATTCTAGAAATGTATTTTTAGCCAGAGACACATGTGTTTCAAAGTAAACTTTAAATATGTGTAAAACCATTCTGAAACCTCAGACCAATTTTCCAAGCACCAAAAAAACAAAACTGAATGAATCTGACTTCTGAGAAACCTAACAAGTTTCTATTTGCCTTCTTCGTGCAACTCGTTTCCTCGGCCCGGTTTGAACACCAGCCTTTCCCTCCCGACGACGGATTCGCATAATGAATTCACACTGGGGCCGAGGACCTGAGTCCAGCGTTCGTGGGGGACTGCATCAGGAGACGTGAGGCCGAAGGGCTGAGCCCCGTGAAAAGACCCACCACGCTGGAGCTCTCGAGCTGCTCTGGTCCTTCCTGCAGCAACAAGAACCTCAGAGAGCCCACAGGGCTCCTGCAGATGGGGAGAGGAGGCTCTTCCGCCGGTCTCAAGAGCGTCCCCTAGCGCTCTGGGGGAGGAACTGCGTGAATGCTCAACTGGTCCGTCCAAGGCCCGCAGTAGGACTTGGCGGAAGACTTTATGGAAGGCTGGGTGACATCTGTCTGTCTGGTGTCTGTGTGGTTGCTAGGACCACAGACACCGAGGACACAGGAAGGAACACCCTTGTAAAGTGTCTGATGGCCTGGTGGAGACCGCTGTGACAGGCCTGGGTGACATCTCCACTGAAGAGCGTGCGTCGGGGCTGGTGGTGTTCCTTGGGTGTGAATTGTCTCCAGAACCTATGAGAATTATTTTCAGAGACCTTGTGAAGTTTTGTTTTGTTTTTTTTTTCAGTAGCTATCTAAGTTGGGCGGAGGCGGGGGGGGGGGGGAATCATTTTTACATAGACAAACTTTCTTGCCTCTTGAGAAGTTTTAAATAGGTTCCAAGAACTTCTCTGGAGCAAACTCCTGGGCAGAGTCTTCAGACCACTCGCAAGGAGGCCCCAGAGCGGCGGACGACCCGTGTTTGCCCTGGCCTCTTCCAGGAGACAGGCCATCTGGTGTGACTCAGTAGGGCCACTGTGGCTCGAAACCAACCACAGGTGTGTACACAAATGAGCAGAGGAGCCTGGCAGAGCATCTTACAGCAAAGGCCAGGGGTGGGCCTGTCCCCGGCTTGGAGAATAAAAGCCCAATGACTCGGCAGTGTATTAATAACCTCCCGTGAAAGACCTGGCTCTGAAGCCAAGTGGGTTGACTTGATTTATCACCCCTCCCCTCTCCTCGGGTCAACACCGCTGTTTTTCCAACTGGGCCTGACCGGTCCTCCTCCCAAGACCTCATCCAAATCCAGCGCCTCTGCAAACCCTCCGCTCAGCCGCACTTCTGGGAAACGGCTCTCCTTCCTCTCAGCACCCTCTGCTCTCTTCCCCCCCAGCCTCTACCATGTGTCTGTTCCCCAGTCCGCACGGGAAGAGGGCCTGGGCCTCCCTGCATCCATAGCTCCAGGCCTGTGTCTGTCTGTCCCTCCCATCAGTCTTGAATTTGCAAGACGGTAAGTAACCATCGGATGTGTGTTGAACAAATGAATGAAGGAATGAATGACTCATACCACATCTCGTTAAGGTACAAAGCTACCGGGAGCCAGGAAAGGAAGCAATGGACATCATCCCTGGCGTCATTTATTCTTCCTCTCCAATCCAAAGCTTTCTTCATCACTGGAATCTGCTAGACACATGCACACACACATGCACGTGTACACACATACACACGCACACACATACATACACACGCACACACATACACGCGCACACACAGTCACCATTTGAAATCACCCACTCATGACATCTCAGATTCAATTATAATAAAAATCTCTGAACCATTGCAACTCCTCAGGTCTGACCTAGGATTAGAGTGCAAATCTTTGTTGGATGGGAGAAGTGAGACTTCCTTCATACCCACCCATTTATTACAGGATGGATCCAGCAGAGAGACAAAGCAAGGCAGGGAAGTCCTTCCCAGAAATCCCATCCGTCCCACACTCCCTCCTGCCAGCCACAGCAGCCTGCTGGCACCTACACCACAGTCAGACAGAGCAGCCGCATGCGACAGAAGCTGGGCACACACGACCGCCACACGGTACCAGACACGCACGATCTGCCGCGATTACGCTCAGCCAGCCACTTTTGATTCTATCACTTGGTTATGTCAGGCTGTAGTTTGTTGTTGTTTTGTTGTTGTTGATGGTGGTGGTGGGATTGAACTCTGGGTCTGGGCACTGTCCCTCAGCTCTTCAGCTGAAGGCTAGCTACCACTTCTGGTTTTCTGGTGGTTTATTGGAGATAAGAGTCTCACAGATTGTCCTGCCTAGGCCGGCTTTGAACCATGATCCTCAGAGCTGCTAGGATTACAGGCGTGTGCCACTGGAGACCAGCCAGGCTGTAGTTCTTAATCTACTTTTTTTGGGGGAGGAGGGGTCAGCTTCAAGGCCCGGGCACTGTCCCTGAGCTGCTTTTGCTCAAGGCTAGCACTCTACCATTTGAGCCACAGCAACACTTCCAACTTTTTCTGTGTATGTGGTACTGAGGAATCGAACCCAGGGCTTCATGCACGCTAGGCCAAATTCTACCTCTACGCCACCTTCTCAAGCCCTAATGATTCCTTTGAACGTGAGGAGCTGTTAATGGACAAGGGAAGGGGCGAACCTGGCAGAAATGCTTTGTGTGACACGCACGCAAAGATCCCCGTGAGAACCTTCGGAGCAACGAATTTATCAATGACGGCAAAAGAACCGAATCCATCATCAGGGCTGGGCATGCGGCTTGGCAGCAGCGTGCTTGCCTAGCATGCCTGAGGCCCTGGGTTCGATTCCTTGGTACCATATAAGTGCACAAAAATAATTGTTTTTAAATTGAATGCATACTCTACAGATATCAATGTGAAATCTTCAGGGCAAAATTTAAAACAGACTGAAGCCCTCCCCCCTCCCCTCCCCCCCTCCCCGGCCAGCTCCAAGGCCACCAGCCTCACCATTCCGTAAAGAAGATGACCAGGTCCTCTTGGGTGGCGTAGTGCGGCATGGCTTCCTTCAGCAACCTCACCTTCTGACCCCCTCCAATGCTGTTGGTCCCACCGCCTCCTCTCCACTCTTCCCCCTGGCCGAGGACCTACACACACAATGACACTTCATTCGAATTATAACCGCTCCAGAGAAGGTGAGTACAGCACTATGTCATGTCACACAGGATCGTGATGTTACCAGAAAACAAGAAGACCTGGCGAGGCCCCCCCCCACCCCCGGCCAAGCCCACTGCTCATTTTTTCTCTTTTCCTTGACTGTTTCAAGTTGGATCTAATCCACGCGGCTGGACTGAAAGACTATATTTTTAAACTCCCCCCCGCCCCTTATCTATTCAGACTAAAGGAAAGAAAATGAGTGAAGTGGTTTTCCCACAGCCCTCCTCCCCGGTTTTTTCTCTCGGTCTGGCTGTAAATTCTGTAAAATCAGCATGGAAATCCCTTGGCCTCACGGACTCCTGGCTCAGGCCTGAAGCCATCTTCCGCTAAACCAAAACGGGTCGCGCCAGGGGAGTGTTGAAGACATCAAGGAAAATGTCACCTTCGTCATCTTCGAAATCATAAACTCACCTCTTCACGCGCCTCAATTAGAACTTACCAGTGTGATTAAAAAAAAAATGGTGGAAACGCAGTTTAGGCTACACTGCTAGTCTCTCTTCACTCACAGCTTGGTGTCTCTTAGCATTGGGGACTGGCAGACATACATTCCTTTATTCTATATTAAGATCTTTTTGCCAGCTGGGTGCAAGGGGCTCACGCCTATAATCCTAGCTACTCAATAGGGTAAGATCTGAGGATCACTGTTCAAGGCCAGCCTGGGCAGGAAGATCCATGAGCCTTTTATTTATATAAATAACCACCAAAAGTAAATACATAAAACAGAAGTGGAGCTTGGCTCAAAGTGATAGAGCACCAGCCTTGAGCAAGAAAGTCAGGGACAGTGGCCAGGCCCCAAGTTCAAGCCCAAGCCCCATCTCACACACACACACACACACACACACACACACACACACACACTATCTTTGCCAGCAAAGCTTGGCCTCTTGAATATTTTTATTAAACGCTTTAAATGCTAGGTACCTTTCACAATAGCAGAACTCAATTTTTCTCTAAGCATATATCTTTTCCTTCTAATTCTTTTTTCCCCCTCTTCTCTCTCTTTTATGTCCTACCTAGATACATCCTTGTTCTCCTCTTCTAGCTCTAGCTGCCAGATCTATTTTTTAATGTAATTAAATAAAATAAAAACAGCAGGCTGCTAACAGCTCAGTTTAATGGTTTTACAAAGTTTCCTCTCTGATTGCTTATCAGCGAAATGTCCCCACAGACAACTCCTTAGCTGCAACCCTTGTCAACTTTTACTTTGTTCCCAAATTCCTATGAAACAAATACACAGAAAAATAAAGCAGGGAAAGCAACCTTGAGCAAACAGAAAGTTAAGATAAGGACTTTACAAGTTCCATTCCAATTATCTGGAAACAAAGAAGTGCACCAGGGCAGATAATCCATAAAGCACTCAGTCAGAAAGAAAGAGAGGAAAAGAAAAAGAAAGAAAGAAAGGAAGGAAGGAAGGAAGAAAAGAAAAAGAAAGAAAGAAAGAAAGAAAAGAGAGAAAAGAAAAGCTTAGGTCAATCTAAAGTCAAATCTTTAGAGTGTGTTTGCCTTCTGGAATGTCAAAATTCTCTATGTAGACAATATATATACTTTATGCAGGTGTTCTCTGGATTTATAGAACATGTTTGGATAAAGCATTGGTAAGTACTAAGGAATCTCTGTTTGCGGGGCAAGGTATTAAAAACACTACAGCTCTCCTTGGAAACTAGACAAACCCATTGAGTAGACAAATCCCACCTTCCTGGGTGGGTTACAGCTTGTGGAGTTATTGCCAGAAAAAAACCAATTGTGACACGGATTCCAGCATAAAGGGCGTACTTTACCTTCACAGTGTAGTTGAAATATCTGGCCGACTGCATAAACCGATGAAATCCATCCGTCTCTTCTGTTGCGACCGTTAGGACTAGTAATTTATCTGAAAAGACAGAAGATAAGGCATGAGGAGAGGTCACCACTTTCTGACTCGCTAGGGTGACCCGGAGCCCCAGTAAACCACAGCACCGTGAGGGTCTATTCATCTGCCCACCCCCAGACAAAAGATTACCCCAAAATAGCCATGTCAGAGTGGACAGAACACAGTCAAATGGCAAGTTCCTTTAACGGTATTTGTTTTAAAGGTTCATTCAAGTTTGAGGAGAAATACATCTTCCAACAGAGTATCTCAACGTTAAGAGAAAGACTTTCACACAGTGGATGGGTATGTCTACCTCTAGAACATTCTCTCTTCCAAAGATATTATTTAATCAACTAGCTTCTCTATAGAAGACTTTAAGTGTCCCCTAAATAGAAGACCATCACTACTTGCATTAATGGAGGATGGTCAAAGTTGAAAGCCAGCCCAAGCAAGAAAGTCTGTGAGACTTTTTAATCTCTAATTAACCACCCAAAAGCAGGAAGTGGAGCTGTGGCTCAAGTGGTAGAGTGCTAGCCTTGAGCAAAAGACAAAAGACCAACTCAGGGACAGAACCCAAGCCCTGAGTTCAGGCCCAGGACTGGTCAGAAAAAAGAAAAAGAAAAAGAAAAAAAAGGAATAAATAATAGTTTCATACAAATTGAATTCTCCTTCAAGTTTTTAAAAATACCAACATAAGTTTGACACACATAAAGAAACAACAAATTTAAATAGAAGACAGTTCAGTAAAGAAAATACATCCACCTTCTTCCAAAAAATATTTTTAACCTAGGAAATGATTATATAATTTCAACACAAGAAGTACTGTTTCTAAGAACAATTACTGTAAAGGCGATGCACAGAGGGTTTACAGTTACATAAGTCAGGTATGAGCACATTTCCTTTTTAACAGTGTCCCCCTCCCTCATTCTCTCCTGATTTTCTCCCCCTCCTGACTTCCCTTCCCCCAAGTTGTATAGTTCATTTCCAACATAGTGTCTAATGAGTTTCACTGTTGAATTGGTTCACCTTATGTCCCACTGCTTCACAGAAAATATTCCAAGTAAAATAATTAACTTCATTAAAGTGGTAAAGCCTAACAAAATATATCCTGGAGGTCTTTTTTTTTAATTAACTATTTTTGCTATATCGTTTTTTAGGATTTTTTATTAAATGCACTTTTTGATCTTTAAATAGTTGCACAAAAGGGCTCCAGTAACTATTCTCTTTTAAGAACAAAAATATCTTACCAGTTTCAAATGAGACTTAAGATATTTAAAAGCAGCATATTAGCTTACAAAACTGTAAGTAAATATGTTGGGTGGTATGCAAAATGTACACATGCATTAACTGAAATATGGCAGATTCAAGAGAGAACTTAAATAGTATAATTCCTTAGAAAGGCAAAATCAAAGTGTTCAGCAAAATAACACACCACGAAGCAGACACCTGGAAAGGGTGGAGTGGGACCAGGGGAAAAGGGGTACATAAAGAGGAAGGAGAAGAGGGGGAAATGTAGACAAAAATCCAATAGATCCTAGAAAATTAAGACAATGAGCTACTCAGGAGGCTGAGATCTGAGGATCTCGGTTGAAAGCCAGCCCAGGAAGGAACGTCCGTGAGACTCTGATCTCCAACTAACCACCAGAAAACCAGAAGTAGAGCTGTGGCTCAGAGTGGTGGAGCGCTAGCCCTGAGAAAAAAGAGCTCAGGGACAGGGCCCAGGTTGTGAGTTCAAGCCCCAGGACAGACCAAAATCAAACAAACAAACAAAAAGATGAAGGAGGACGGGGAGGGGTAAGAATGTTGTTCAAAGGTGTGACAATGACCAAGATGCTTTCTGTCGCGTCACTAAATGACAACTCCTTTGTACAACTACCTAAAGATAATAATAACAATAATAAAGATGTAATACATGGTAAGCTCTCAGAGTAAAGAACACAGTTTCTTAAGGTCTCTTCCGTGCAATACGGTAACTGTTTAGTAACCTTTTTCCTGAGACATTTCTCTACAAATCATAAAAATTAACAGCAACTGTTGATTGTTAACTGGATGTTTTTTACACTTAACATTTCCAGTATAAAGTTCACAGCAAGGTTTTCATCAGCCAGCATACCGAAGGCAGGGGGTGTCAGCCAGAATCTTAAGTAGACAGAAAATGTGACCACATTCCGTGACTCAGAGGGTCGAGCCTCGAAATCAGAGTCTCCCCGCCCTAGGCCAAAGAATTCCCATCACTCCAGTTGCTTTTTTTCTTTTTTAAATTAAGTCATTTGAAATCGTCTAAAATTAAAAACAGTTCAACTGGGCAAACACTCTTAAAATCTCTCTATCATAAAAATGAGTGAAAAGCTTTCAATAATCCCTTAATAGAGTCGGGATCGTCCCAATAAAAGATGTCATAGAATTGAAATGGTTTCGGCCCAAGACTGTGAGCTTAAACCACTCGGACGGTCGCCTTACGGAACGCATCTTCCAGCTACGGAGTGGACAGCAGAGGAGACAGCTTTGGCCACGCTCACCTCCCGGCCGTTTCCACTCTAGACACTCCTTCCCTGTCTAGCTTCCTTCCACCCTGGGGGACTGCCACAAGATGCACACACCCTTACTGTCTGCCACCTTGTCCCTTTATGTGGAAACAGTTCACCCAGTTCCTATGAGCAGAAGCTCTGCACCAGATCGGCACCGCACAGCAGAGTTATGTTGTCATCCAATGACTGACTTCCACAATCACCCTTACAAGGAAGGCACTCCCAATGGGGCCGGCCGGCATCCGTAAACATGATCCGGGCTGGGAAGGTGGCTCAGTGGTAGAGCGCTTTCCTTGCATGCATGAAGCCCTGGGTTCGATTCCTCAGCACCACACACACAGAAAAAGCAGGAAGTGGGGCTGTGGCTCAAGTGGTAGAGTGCTAGCCTTGAGCTGAAGGGCTCAGGGACAGCGCCCAGGCCCAGAGTTCAGGCCCCAGGACTGGGGGGAAGAAAACAACAAAGAAAAACCTAGCATTTTTTTTTAAGAAGGAGAAGAAGAAGAAAAGAAGCCATTAGTATTGATTGGTCCAAATTAGAAAGGCTCAAACCAGTTTTCTCTGCGGCACTCACAGCTCTGATGCACATGGAGATAACAGTCATTTTTTCTTCTGTTTTGAACAGAGATGACCAATATTCCGTGAAAACCATTTTGAAACACCTTTTCATGTCTCTCTCTTCCTCCTCTTCCTCCTCCTCTTCTTCTCATCCCCCTCCTCTTCTCTTCCTTTTCCTCCTCTTCTTTCCTCATTTTTTTTTTTTTTGCTGGTTCTGGGGCTTGAACTCAGGGCCTGGGCACCTCTGTGCTTAAGGCTAGCGCTCTACCACTTGAGCCACAGCTCCACTTCCGGCTTTTTCTGTGTCTGTGGTACTGAGGAATGGAACCCAGGGCTTCATGCATGGGAGGCAAGCACTCTACCACTGAGCCATCTTCCCAGCCCTCTTCCCTCACTTTTAAAAACCCTTTATAAACATCTTCATCTTCTTTCTTGCTGGCTATACAGAAATTGGCACCGGGCAGGCCTGGCCTAATAGTTACCATTTGTCTCCTGGGATATAATTGGCCACAAAAACCTGACTACGAACTACTGCCCACAGATCCCAAGGGTAAAGGTTATTCTTTCCAACTGATCGATAACTTAAAACCCTGTGTTTTGCACTAAGAACTCCCTGTGATCATGAAAGGAGCTGCGGCTGGTGGCCGGTGTTGTACACATACGTCTATGTTGTCCCTTCCGCTGTGAGGAGGCAGGGAGAATCAGCATCACGGGTGATGCGTGACCCTCAGGAAGTTATCATGACATCTCTCTCTCTCTCTGCCGGGAGTGCTACGGAGGTCCGTTATAAACTGGACAAATTGGCTTAGCTCTGTGCGTACACATAACAAGCACCTGCAAACCCATCTTCCCTTGAATGCCTGTATTTTCCTCTATCACAAAAAAAGCTATCATTCTAAGCCCGAGTTATAATTAGCGTGTGCCCGGGAGCCTGCCCTAGGCACGGCCCCCAAAGCATGCCAGAGCCACATCTCCCATCCCCACGCGGCTTCCAGAATGATCTGTTTCCTGATCTTTACACTCATCCAGCCATGAGGGGACTGTTCCCAGGACACGGGACTTGGGCTGCAAACTTGAATTGTGCACACGGGACGTCCTGTTTAACTTCCAAGGAAGTCCCGCCCGCCGCCCCTCCTCAGACGGGCGGGGGTGGCTCTGTGGAGCCCCAGTGCTGCGGAGATCCCTGCCATTTCCAAAACAGAACAAACGCACCAGAACATGAGGCCTTTCTCCACGGAGGGAGGGGCGGCATCTGCCAACCAAATGCCTGATCGGGGTCCGGACTGCCTGCCAGAAATCTGGTAGCAAGTCTGCAGCTCGTCCAAGCACATGTGCTCTGTCACCGTTTAGCCCACATTTTACACAAAGCACTGAAATGATTTCCTGAGCTCACACCAGAGCCAGAAGACACAGTCGATAGCTTTTACTTCCCCACGATGGTAAAAAGGAAAAAAGAATTTCTTACACTCCTTATATCCCCTAAAAGCATGGAAAAAAATAATAAATCAACCTGGGATGTACAATTAAAAACAGGCCCAGGAAACGGTGGCGCAGAGATGCTACTCGAGAGAGAAGTCCTCATATGCATTTACCCCATATGCATTTATCCCGATACGCGTTTATCCTCATATGCATTTATCCTGATACGCATTTATCCTCTTCAGTTCACAACGAGACAGTCGCTCTCCCACGAATGCATTTTAGAATTATTGCGGAGACATGCCTGTGTGTGCCAGGAACGTAGCTCAGTGGCAAAGCGTCAGCCTGGTGGGAACAAGGACCTGGGTTCAAGCCCCAGTACTGTAAAATGAAAAAATAAATTTGAGGCAAAAAAAAAACCCTCTGACCTCGTCCGCAGTATCAACTTCACATCACGGGAGTGCATGTAAAGCCTCAGGCAGGCCACAGGAACCGGTCTTAAAAAGTTTATGGCTTATTTTAGCAGCTCTGGGCCAGCCCAGAACAACTTGCCAGTTCCTGAAATCACTGGGCGAGCAGCAAAGATGGAGGCGACCTGTTAGCTTGAGCTGCCCTGTGAGATAATCCAGGATGTAAACTGAAGCAGAAAGTGCCGCTGTCTCCCATCAAGGCCCTTCCCCAAGAAGCTCCCTGCCCCCTTGGCTTTGTGTTGCACAATTGTAACCTCACATCTGGCTGAAACGAGTTCTATCATCCGTGGCCACTCTCCCAGAAACTATGAAGAAATGTTCGAGCCTTCGCCATGCCAAGTTCAAATTCTACAAACAAGCGTCTGGGGTGTCATTCATCAGATGAGTTACTTTCATACACTGACACATGGAATTGGGGGGGAAAAAAGCCTACATGCTTGACTGATTATTTTCCTTCTTTGTAATTTAACTTGTGAACTAAGGAAAGCTCTCTCTCTCTCTCCCTCCCTCTCTCTCCCTCTCTCTCTATCTCTCCTTCCAAGTATCTGGCTGACTTCCCTCAGGAGAGGCCCAAGGGACAGATTCATGTTTGTGCAAGAAAAATGAAACGGACACTCATGGGGGCATAGATGCCCTCCCATCCAGAGCTTCCTCTTCTAGGGCTCAATGCATCTTCGAGATGCACAGAACTAGCTCAGGCTTCCGTGATATTCAGTGACAAACTGTTTTGCTTTGCTAACTATTAGAATGGTATGGGAAATATTCTAAACTTCTCAGAGAAAAATGCACGCGCGCACATGCGCGCACACACACACACACACACACAACTTTCTGCAAAATTCCTCTGTCAAAATGAAACAAGGGGAGGCAGGTGTAATCTGCGCTACACAGGAGTGCAGGAAACAGGGTGGTCATCTGAGGCTGGCCCTGAGCAGAAACGTAAGACCTCACCCCCAACACAGCTTAGGGAAAACCAAAAAGAGGGCTGAGGGTGTGGCTCAAGTGGTAGAGCGCCTCCCCCACCAGAGCAAACTGCCTTGAGCTCAAATCCCAGTGCCTGGAGAAAAATGTAAACAAAAATAAAACAAGCATTATCTGAAGAAAAGCAACCCCTTTGTACATAAATAGCATACCCTCCCCCTTTACGGTGTCATTTGCCCAGTGATAACTACAGAAAACACTGAAATGGAGGCCTAGGACCCACCCCAGATCAATTAGGAGCAACAGTTTCTGGACTTGGGCACTTCCATTTACAAATGAATGATCTAGACAGTCAGTGGAAACTTCAAGCACCCCATGAGTAGCTAGCTCAATAACAGGGAGACTTGAAAACTTCAGACAGAAGACACAAAGACAAGCCCCAAATAAAATGAACCCTTGAATTAGTGTTTGATATAAGCCACCAATCTTGAAGCCCCAGGGGGCCTTTTTGAATATATTCTGAATTTTTCTCTCCCTAGACAGTTAGAGGATTGCTAATGATGTCCATTTCCAAATCACTGATGCAATATTCTGCGAGAAAAGCAAGCGCCAAGTTAAAATTCAACACTTCCTGGTTTGTTTGGGGTTTTTTTTGGTGCTGGTCCTGAGGCTTGAACTCAGGGCCTGGGTACTGTCCCTGAGCAATTTTGCTCAAGATTACAGCTCTACCACTTGAGCCACAGCACCACTTCCAGCTTCTTGGTGGTTCACTGGGGACAAGAGTCTCACAGACTACCTGTACTGGTTTTGAATCTTGCTCCGCAGACCTCAGACTCCTGAATAACCAGGATTACAGGCATGAGCTACCACTCCCCTATTAAGACATTTTTTTCCAAGCACGCCCCCCCCAAAAAAACCATGAAGGTTATTAGAAATAACCTCCAAATACACTACAACAATCCCCGTTACTTAAGTCTTTTAGTAAAATAAACCTTCTTTTGATTTTCTTCCAGATTTTTGTCAGCCAGGAAAGCATTTCCTAAGTCGGTACGCAATGCAAAAAGACTTCTGAGTTTCAGTTCACAGATAAGTTTCTGGTCAAGTTCAGGACCCAGTCTTCAAGTCTAGGCCCTCCTTCTCTCCTTCCCTCCCTCCCACCTCCCTCCCTCCCTCCATCTGAATCTGCTCATCCTCAACCTCTTTTCCCAGAGTTCCCTCCCTGTCTGCATCCACCTGAACACCAAGGCTCACACCCATCAAAACCACAGGGGCAGAATGGCCGCAGTTTCACACCAGGGACGGAAATGGAAACAAAACCAGGATGAAGGCCCCCACCCCCTTAGCCCAAGACCCCGCACCTCGGTGAGCTAAGCCGACAGGCACGGGAGAGGCGAGGTATTCTCTGGGCACCTTGGTCTTCAGTCATAACAGAACGATGACTGGCAGCAAACAATGAAAAGCCAGATCCAAGCCAAAGCCTCACTTGATGCCCACCCAGCACGGGACCGCGAGAAGAGGCAGGGTCAGCACATTCCGGCCGGCTCTGGCCAGCCCAGTGCATCTCATGCCCCGGCCCCCACAAACCCAGCCAACTGGGGCTCGGACACATGGCAGAACCCCCTCCCCGGCTTCCAAGCTGCTGGCAACTTCTACACGTTTGGAGAATCTGTCATTACACTCGGAGAAGGCTGCCCTCTCTCAGATTCACAGCCCAGAGGAAGAAGCGCCGCAGCTGGCCTGGGCCTCTTCCTGGAGTTTCAGCGACTCCGTCCTGCAGGCCAAGTGTCGGCTTTCAGAGTCTGTTTCTCAGCTCAGGGAACCGTGCGCAGGAGACGAGGAACGACCCAGAAATCAGCCACCCAGTTCCCCAGGCGCCGCTGGGGTCCGTGAGTGAGATGTGGGGGTCAGGCGGCAGTTCCAGGCTGGGACCTAAGCTACTGAGCACGCACAAGCTCTGGTTGGCTGCTGAACACAAGAATGACAGAAGATCATAATCCTGTCCCGGGCATCTCAAAAAAAGCCAGAAGAAAAGGCTTGAAAATGTTCACCGTAAATAAAGAGGTTAAAACTTTTCTTTTTGAAGAAGGAGAAGACAGGATGTTCAACTTGCTTTAAACACTGAACAGCGTAGACATGCACGGAAATACGACCCACTACCCCATACACACACCAGTCCTTCTGTTTTCCTAGTTACAATGTAATAAGTGTGATTTTCTACATGCCTTTTGTATCTCATTTACTTAAAATAAGTAACTATTGACTTGGATCCTGAAAAAAAATGAAAAAAATAAAATAACTAAATATTAAGATTAGGAACGCAAGCAACTGTGCAAGCATGCGTGATCCTCGTCCATTTTCATCAAGTTTGGTGCCGTGGACCCACGTTTAACACTAATGTGTTTCTACTCCCTCCCTAGACTGCTACAATCATCAAAATACGTGAAGCTTAGAAATGTCATATATATACATATGTGTGTGTGTGTGTGTGTGCTTGGAGAAGCCTGAAAAACGTTTACTTAAATAACGTTCGCATAATATTTACTTCAATTCAGTGCAATGTCCTGAGTTCAGACAAGAGCAGGAAGGCCACAAGGCTCCCGTTGCACACCAGAGGCTCCCGTGGGTTTACCTATCAGGAGCCTTAGCTACAAGGTTACCCGTCCTGCTATGAACCAGGAAGCTGCCAACACCAAAAAAGCAGTGGAAAAAAATATAAAAGCAGACACATGAAAACCAAGCTTTCAAAAACAATTTTTATATGAATGTGTTAGAAACAATCGCATGAAAGAAAAAACATTTGAATACATATCTTAGGTTCATTTCCCTAACATCAACTTCAGACATATACTAGACATTGCAAATAAGGGAAACCATGGGGCCTATGTTTCTTTGGGCCTGGCTTACTTCACTTAATATAATTTTTTCCAAGCCTTTCCATTTCCTACAAATGGGGCAATGTCATTCTTTCTGATGGAGGCATAGAATTCCATTGTGTATATATACCACATCAAAACCAATTTTTTTAAACGCGTCTCTCATTCCTAGGAACAGCTCGGACGGGATTCAACGCTGTCTTTCCTTGTTGGCTGCTGCGTTGAAGGAAGCCCTTCCTTCTGACAGGTGCCAGATAGAGCCCTGCGATCCCTGCACCTCCTCAAATTCCAGAACCTTCCATGAGGCTGAACCATTTCAACGCAGAGAAGTAGCTTCAGCCAGCCAATATAGTGAAAGTTTCATGGAGTGCTGTATAAAATGGGAACCCCGGAAAGTATATATACATAAAATATATATTACATGTTACAGAGTTTAAAAAAAAGAATTACTAGCTCCCAGTCAAACACAACAAAACTGTAATCAGAGATAAAATTATAGATCTTTAAAAATAAAACAAAACACAAGAATGACCAGCTTTCGGCAAGCCAAACACCAGGAAGCTGTCATCACAGATAAGCGGTACTCCACGCCTCTCAGCTTTCGGGAAGAGAACGTAACATTCCGGCGACCTTGTTACTTGGACCTGGCAGTGTTCTGTTCTTTCTCTTTTTTAACCCTATGACACCTCCCCCGACCGTTCTTCTCAAAACCTGACACGGCATGAAGTCATTTTAGGACGCTGTGTCAGGCCTTCGGGTTGGGAAGTACAGCATTATTATTAACATGGTCACCCTGACCCTGTCCAGCAGGCTGGCCTGTTACAGAAGCCCATCAGGATGTCAAACCTCTCGACCGCTCTTCTCCACCCCAACACCACCCTGATAAAGAATGCCTGCCTCACCGGGCGCCGGGGGCTCACGCCTGTCATCCTAGCTACTCAGGAAGCTGAGATCTGAGGATCATGGCTCAAAGCCAGCCTGGGCAGGAGAGTCCGTGAGACTCTTATCTACAATGAACCACCAGAAAACCAGAAGTGGCGCTGTGGCTCAGGTGGTAGAGCGCTTTCCTTGAACTGAAGAGCTGAGGGGCAGCGCCCAGGTCCCCACGACTGACCACTCCCCCCCCAAAAAAGAATGCTTGCCTCCTTTCAGTCACACTCCTGTGAGACCTCACCCCATTCCCGGGCCCGGCCACGGGCTCGTGTGGCCAGCACGGGAGGTGCGGCCCTGGTCCAAGGCTCGTGGGATAGCTCCCCACCTGGTGTGGGGTGTGGAGGAGAAGCAAAGTCGGGGAAAGAGATCAAGAGAAGGACATAGACACACAAACCACAGCCCCGAGAGCATCTAACCACCCATGGGAGAAAGTCCAGGCTGGAAGGAAGGCATTCCTGCTTTCTGATTAGCAAGCGCATGCACACCCCTCACCCACAACCCCAAATCCTTTCCCCCCAAAGTCCACGTTCTTCCCCATTCACTACAGTGCTAACTCAGGAAACACCTTGATAGATACGGAATGCATCTAAAAGGCTCTTGAATAACTCCTTGGTATACAGCACATTTTACAGTGGGATTTTTTTAACTTTGAAGGGGTCGCTGGAGTTACTTTTGCTCATCTCGGTAATGTAAACAATCAGAAAGAAAGGGGAGACAGAGCGCTGCGGAGTAAGTAGCCCCTCTGGGAAGACAGAAAAGTAGTTTCATATAAACACCAGCCCACTTTCCTCTCTGGTATGTAAACAATTGGGGGAATATTCTAGATGTAAACGCAACTCTAGCTCCGCTTGGCTTCGCTCCCTCCCTATCTCTGAATCAAAACTTAATTGGGAAAAGGCGACATGAATCCCGGCCAGACCCAACCACTGACACAATACCGGGAGAAGTAGAGGCTAGACTACAAAACAACCGGAGAGCCCTTTCCCAGGGCCGAAGGGAGGAGTGGAGGGTGAAGTTCCCTTCCCCTTCCCGGCCCAGGCCTCCTCTGTTCCTGCAATGCCGACTCTGCCCCTCACGTTCACACCTAGAACTCAAGGAACAGCCAGCAACAGAGCTGGGAAGATCGCGTAGGCGCAGCCTCCCGGAGCTGTGTCCTGGCTGGAAGTGGTGAGCAGAGATACTGTGTCCTGGCTGGAAGTGGTGAGCAGAGATACTGTGTCCTGGCTGGAAGTGGTGAGCAGATAGGGGCCTTCAATGCTCCGTCCCGGGTGCCACGGTTCCTCCCAGAGACGCCGTCTCGGGTTCTACCCAGGCCTTATTTCCCTGCTTTAAGAATGTTTGCATGTCAAGCCTGGCGCCCGTGGCTCACGCCTGTCATCCTAGCTACTCAGGAGGCTGAGATCTGAGAACTGGGGTTCAAAGCCAGCCCGGGCAGGAAAGTCCGTGAGACTCTTATCTCTAATGAACCACTCAGAAAAAGCCAGAAGCAATGCTGTGGCTCAAGTGGAGAGTGCCAGCCTTGAGCACAGAGAGGCTCAGGGACAGCGCCCAGACCCTGAGTTCAAGCCCCAGGACCAGAATTAAACAAAAGCAAAATTAAAAAACACACACACACACACACAAGAATGGCAGAATTTCAGGGCTGGGAAGGTGGCTCAGTGGTAGAGCGCTTGCCTTGCATGCCTGAGGCCCTGGGTTCGATTCCTCAGCACCACATAAGCAAAAAGAAAAAAG